CTGGAAGCGCTTTACAAACATAGTGTTGTCTGTTTGACATTGAAATAATCCATGCCCCTTCACAACCTGAGTTAGCCTATCAAACCAGGCCCTCAGAGACTGCTTAAGACCATAAAGTGACTTCCATAATTTGCAAACCTTCCCCAAGTTATCAGATGATTCTAGTCCAGGAGAGATCTTCATATATACTTCTTCCTTGAGCTCTCCATTTAAGAAAACGTTATTGATATTCAATTGATGGAAATCCCAATCCAAATTTACTGCAATGGACAAAAAATACCTGAACAAAAATCAATTTTGCTACCAGTGCAAAGTTTCCTCATAATCTCCATATGATTGAGTGAATCCTTGAGCCACCAACCTAGCTTTATAACAGTCGACACTGCCTTCTGCATTATATTCTACAGAAAATATCCATTTGCATCCTACTGGTTGCTTTTCTTGTGGAAGTTGAGGGTACTCCCATGTCCCATTATTTTCTTAGGCCTTGATTTCTTCATCTACTGCTGCCTTCCATTGAGGTTCTTGTATCCTCATAGAAATTATGGGATTTTTTGGTTGATGGTCATGAACAAAGACAGTGCAACTAAAATTTAGGTGGAAGGTTGGTAATGAGTTTTGGTGTTTGAGTTGGCAGATAGAAGTGTTTGTGATGGGACCCAAAATAGCAATGAAGGCCTTTAGAATACAAGCCCTACAAGGCCCACTGTGTGGCGGGTTTACTCCCGTAGGAAAAAAGCTAATAATCAATAATTAGGAAGTCTGTTATTATTCTGTTTTATTATTATTCTGTTGTTAGATTAGGTTTTGAATTTGAATAAGTCAATCAGGATATTCTGTTATTAGATTAGGTTTTGAATTTGAATATGTCAAGATATTCTGTTATTAGAATAGGTTTGTTTCATTGCTCTTTATTTAAATTGTTAGGTTGTGGAATGGAGGAGGGTAGTTTTTGGCTAGACTTATGAGAGGAGAATAACATTCTCTGAGAGGAGCTTTGGCTCTGGGGGATTCTTGTAGTCCTAATTCCTATCATAATCAATAAAATATCCTTTCCTTTTTCTTCAATTACCTGAACATAGATTTTGGTCCCTAACAGTTTGATGAGGAGTCTTGAAGTTAAGGGGCTTCGCTGGCATTCTGTTTATAAGTTGATGAGAGGAGAGCTTCACCCCAAAAATGATATGGAACATTTGTGGGTACATCGAGATGTCTTTTTTTCCTTTTGGCAATATCATTCTGCTGTGGGGAATCAACACATGAGGTTTGATGCACAATACCATTTTTGAAAAGGTAATCATGAAAGGATTTGTGAACATAGTAACATACTCTCTACCATCGTTGGTTCTGAAGATTTCGATGGAGGTTTTAAATTGAGTTTGTATCATTTTGTGAAAAATTTCAAAGATTTTCCCTACTTCTGACTTTTCCTTCATGAAAAAAACCCAAGTAACCCTTGTATGATCATCTACGAAAGTTACCAAACCACCTTGCGCCTGAGATATTGTTAACGCAAGATGCCCATATATCCCTATGAATTAAAGTAGGGAACATCTTTTTCAAATACAAAAATTTGGGTCTCCAAGGTGATAGTGCCACACCATTACATCATCCTTTGAGGACAACATTTGCAGTGTCTTTGTATGTCTTCTGTTGTAGTCTTCCACTCTTAGAAGGTAGAGGCCTGAACTTTCCTAAGCATCGCCAATCTTCTTCCCTGAGTCCAAAGCCTGAAATTCACATGTCTGGCAGAAATTTAGTAACACATTTTAGATCTTGTGTCAGTTTGCATGTAGACAGTAGATTGCAATCCAAATTAGGGACATGTAATACAGATTTCAGCATTATGTCTTCAGAAATTATCACAAGTCCTTTCCTGACCATTTTAGAAGAGGTTCCATCTGCTGTGTGAATAGAGCATCCTGAAAAGGGGTATATTGGCTAAAGACATTGATATGCCCCGTCATATGGTCTGAGGCTCCAGAATCAACAATCCAAGGTCCTGATTTCTGGTGGCTAATATTAAAGACAGTGGAGATTACCTTTTGAGCAAGTGTAGTTGTAGAAGAATTAGTAATTGTGCTTTGAAGGGTCTGTTGCAGCATTTTTTGTATCATTTCCGTATTTTCTTTGCTGAAGAAACTGGATTCAGATTCTGCGTTGGGTTTCTTTTCTTCACTGATTGCAGCATGAGCTCTATTCTCCTTGTGCCCCAGCTTCCAATCAGCAAGCTTCCATTGGAGTAACCAGCAGGTCTCCCTTGTGTGTCCTGTTTTTCTGCAGTGATCCCACCCAAGGTAGTTAAAATCCCGATTTGAATCTTAAAATCTTCCGATTCTACGATTTTGGAAGTCTCACCGATTTAAATCGTGAATAAAATCCTAGTTCAGTAAAATCCTTGTAAAATCCCTCAAATTGTGGGATTTCACGATTTTACTTCAATTTTGAAAATTCCTCGCAAAGTCTATTTTGTTGAACCTTATCGTAGTTGACGCCTCTTTCATATATCTCCTTTTTATGGAATCCAATTTGCCTCTAGCAGCTTTGAACCCTAACATTGTTGTCAACATTCAGCAGTCCTCCTAGTGCATGCAACCTGGTCTGCAACTAAATCTATTACTGCTGTTCTTGCATCTTTTTTGTTCTGGTCTATTTTTTACTCATGTAAATGCATTACATTCTTATGGAATAAATTATGATTTGTGAGTGCTACGTTGTTTAAGTGCTTTTACTGATTTGAAGTTTTTTCCCTTAATTTATGATATTTTATATGAATAATATGAATTTATATCATATACATAAATTTTATAAAATCTTACGATTCAATTTACGATTTTTACTCTCCTTTACGGTTTAAAGTAAAATCCCGATTTTAACTACCTTGATCCCACCATCTCGTTTTTCCTTTGGGGTCCTCTGGCAATAATTGCAGAGCTTTCAGTGGCAATACTGTCCATGTGTCCATTCAGCATAATTTTCCTTCTGTTTTTCTCTCTTCTAACCTCTGCAAATGCCTCACAGATACTAGAGAGTACTTAGTTCCTAGGATTCTCCCCTTTCATCCAAATCCTTGTTCAGCCCCAACAAGAATTGGTATATTTGGTCCTCCACCAGAGTCTTGTACTGCTTGCTATCTTCAGGGCACTTCCTCTCCATGTCTTCATAAATGTCCAACTGCTGCCAATACCTTGTGAGAGCATGGTAGTTTTCAGTGAGAACAACGTCCTTGCCGCGGGTCATATAGGAGACTCTTGATCTCGAAAATGGCTGTGTTGTTGTCTACATTTGAGTAGGTTTCCTATGCAGTACCCCAAATTTCTGTAGCAGTCCCGTAATACATGAAGTTCTCTCCAGTTTCATTTCATATGGCATTGAGCAGCCAGGAATTGACCAGGCTGTTCTCAAGCTTCCATTTCTGGTAGGTTGGATCCTTCTTTTCCAGTTCCTTTGTGTCACTGGTAATATATTCTTCCTTCCCTTTTCCTTGGAGAAGAGGCGGACATATCTTGCCCATGGAAATAGTTCTGGCCATTTTGTAGCCAGTGATTGGAAGGAGGTTTGTATCAATCACCGGCAAGTTCAGTTGCTGATTTCTTTTGCTCATCAGGCATGGTACTCACTCTGTCATGGTTCAGACTTGTGTTTTGATACCATGTAAAAGTGTTTATTTCCACACTCAATATTGAGTGAGACAAGAGGCATAAATAGCATTTAGGGTACAACAAATCAGGATCCCAATTAGGGATTACAAAGAATTTAATTTACTAAAAAAGGAAAGAATTCAATATTGCCAAGTACAATCAGGGGTATTAATCCCTTATTTTCAGCTTTACAATTAACCAACATTTCTGCTCCTCTAATTTAGGAAGCATCCCTTTTTTTCATCTTTAATATAATTTTGTCATGTCTTATTATATAAAATTCTAGATTTTTTTAAAATATACATGCTAATATTCATTTTAAAAAATATTATATTAACATACCCATACCTCCAGTCTTTTTTCAAGACTTGTATTTTCTACCAGTATCGTACCTGGTATCCATGCAACATAGATGTTGAACATGCAGACAAATTAACTAGCTAGTGAGGTGTGTATACTCTACTCAGTGTTTGTGTGTATTTAATTCAGCTAGTTCTCAGATAGTGGGTTTAGTTTAACGGGACATGAGTTTGCTAAATGAGCCACAAATGAAGTTAGGACCAAGCCTAATTTGAATCTAACAAAAGTAACCCCAACATTGTCCCCCTTTCACCAGACAGTATATTGAGCTTTAGGCCTTTGTTTAAATGGTTGATTTGTGAATATACTGAAATCTGTTTTTCATTCATTCTAATTTCAAATTTTCAACAGCATTTTTAGAGGCCAATAGTAGTTTGCCATGAATTTCTTTTTCTGAAAGCAGCTGTGTCATTTTCTTCAGATTATGACCGAAGCACAAATTTAAGTCAGCAGCACAATATCTAATGGGAAATTATGTTATGTTTGTGCATGGTATTAATGTTACAACCTATCGACCCTTTGAATGGTGGAGGTCCCAAGTCTGTAAAATCTTAACACAGGCAATTGTGATAGAAATTAGGTCTCTTATTAAGTGGGATGAGTGGATGACCCCTAATTACAAAACAAACACACTGCAGAACTTCAAGGGTCTGCATCTCCCAATGCCATAAAGGCCCCAATTTCCTTTCACAAATCACCCCCCCCCCCTCCCTCTTTAATCTCCCCTCTTATTTATAGGCAACATGCCTTTTTCAATTAACTCACGTAACTAACCAACTAATGGGGATTAACTAAGTAATCTATTTAGACAAACTATTAATGGGGTGACCTAACAAATTGTTATCAAGGAAAAGTTTATTCCAAATCACTTAGTTTATATTGCATGAAATGACCATGTGATTCAAGAGCATCTGAAGCTACCTATCTTGTGTTTGTTATGTTAGCAATTTTGTTCTTTTCTATCAATATTTTCACCAATCACTCTTTACTTCATTGCAGCATTTGCACCCATGAATGGAGGATCTGTGGCTGACTCTCATGATTCAGACCGTTGGAACCAACCACTAAATACTGATCGATATAGGGATTGAGAGGAGAATAAATTAAATATGCCTCACTGTGGAAAGAAATCGAATAGTTCTCCTTCCCCCTTGCACAATGCTGAAAGCTATATACGGCTAGATTCAGTTATTTTCTGACATGTTAAAAATGTGTTTACGGCTAAAGATATGGATGCTTTTAGTTTAAAGCTCCTTTGGTAAGGTAGGAGAATCTGTTATGAGCAGAAATATGATAATGTATTAATGCACTGACCTTTGCCCTGCCTTCTCTGTTCCCAAAATTTTGATTGTGACCTGTGAGAAGGGTAAAGTAAATTGAAAGTAACATGAAATTGATGAGATATTGTATCTAATAAACTCATTTATTCTGTAGATATTTTCCTTTTGCATACCTTTCTGTTGGCTTAATTTGATGGAACATGCTTCTTTATCATCACGACGCTCTTTGTCGGTTGATGATGGTACTTTTTTGCTTTTTGTGATTTGCACTGCTACAGCACCTTAAAATTTTACAAATTATTATTTCCTTTTATGCATAATTTTTTTCTAATAACTTTTATAGTTTGATTAATCTCAATCCTCAGAGTTGAATTTAAACAACTAATAATGATAAAATTTTATTAAAATGAAAGTATTTATTACACCTTTGTATTGCAATGCAAATAAATGTCTTTTTTTTCTTTTTATAAAATTTTATTAACTCCGGATCTCTTTTTTTCTGCAGGTACTGTAGTCAGTAATTTCAACCATTAATATATATTTTTTAAAATAAAATATTAATAAAGAATATAATTAAAGAAGATGAATAGTGGAAGATTAGACTGAACATCCTGCAGCCATTTTCCTGACTGCAGGGGATCGTTTATTAGTTTTAGATGTTTAAATATGGTCTTTATTCCTTAAAACTTAAGTTAACAAAATTATAATTTTTTTTTGGTGATTTTTATTATTGCTTCGTCAAAGTGATAACAAAACATCAAGCGTGATCGGGTAACTAAGTAGTATCCATTAACTTATGTTTTTAAATTTGACTCCTTTATTTAAAAAGCATGATTTAATAAAGTTGTTGTTCCGGTTCAGAAGATGGGGAAATAAAGGTGTTTTTCCCGCTGTCAAGGTTGGTCGTTTAAAATTGATTCAATAGGATGCATGGTTACTGAAGTAGTGTTGATGAAAACTTTTCTGAGTTCTACTGTTGAACTATTGTTTGATGAGAAAATGCATCAAGTAGGGCCCAGCCTGAACTTGAGAAGTGGGTCGTCTTGACTCTTGTCTTGAGGATTAAACAGTCAACCATAACTTTCCATTCTTTGGAAATAATTATCAAGAATACCAAGCAAGATGACCCATTTGCAAGAAGATGCAACCTTTTTAGGTTTTAAGGCAATGAGCATAACAATAGCAAAGTCGAGAAGTGTCCAAATTACCAGAGATTACCTCTAAAGCTTGAAACTTTTTTCTAATAACATAATCATATGAAACTTTGATTCTTGACACATTATATGTTTGGAAACACATTGAAATACTTGAAAATGTGAATTTTAACACAAAATTTACAACTAGTAACAGAAATAATCGTGACTATTTGTTCATTTAAATTTGAATCCAAAAATGCTAATAGCCGAAAAACAGTTGGAACCAAATTTTACACTTACCAATGCATGTGTAACGGAATTTTTCTCTTAAGGAAATAAAGACGATTTGAGAGAATCGAAGTTTGTGGCGCGGGTACAAACAAGCTTAAGGAAAGAGTTAGGAAAAAGAATGAGGAAGTCATGTATGAAATAACACATGTTCTGAGAGAATTCTGTAAACATATCTTTCTGAGACCAATGGGTGACGCAACAAGACTTTTGAGGTGAGTGAAACTCAATTGCATTGTAATTTAAATTTTTACATGGACTAATTAGAAAAAAGGAAAGTAGTATTTGTCATGAAAACCTGAATCAATAAACTGTATATTTTCTTGAAAAATGCATTAAAAATAATAAGAATAAGAAGTTGTCTTTTTATGTTTATTAATAAATAAAATTACTTTTAATTCCTTAATCAAATATTGGTTAGTATTTAATAAAATAATAAAGCATATATCCAAATTGCCTCATTTTTTAGTATTAACTGCACTCTATAGTTAGGGTATTTTTTACATTTTTGCTTAAACAAAAATTTCTTGCTTAAGCAAAAATATGAAAATAGTCTAACTGCAAGATGCAATTAGTTCAAAGAATCTGAGTCCATGGGTAAACAATTAAAACTTTTTTTTTTCCAGCATTTATGGTAGTATTAGATATTTTGATCATCTTAAACTTTTAAGACATACATGTAATTATAACATTTAGGACTATTTTAGTAAATTTTCATGAATCAATATTGCAGGACTTTTTTGAAAGCAAAGTATACGATGTTATATTCGGTTAAATTCTTCCCCAATTTTATATGCATCAATTTTTGCTTATAATTGTGACTTTTTGGCATCTTCATCTTTGCAGCGTCTAACCAGTGATATAATAAAATTGTATACCTATGCTCCCATCCTTCTGACATAGTTAATGATTTATTGAATCTGATATCGTCATTATAAATAAATAGAATTTGATATTTTCATTAATAATATCTTTATTTATTTTCTATTTATCAGCTAGGTCAATAATTTTAGCAAACACTTGAATATTTAGACATTATGAGCAGCAGTGATTTTTTTTTTTTTCAATTCTACATTCTCATTCCCAACCAAATATGCTTTACAAGGCATACCACCATTTTATATCACATCTGAAATTTTAATTCTGAAATACAACTAAACACGTTCAAAAACTTTATTCTAGAAGTGATTTAAATTTATAAATGTGATTTGTAATTACTTCCCGAATTATATTTTTGGAAGTGTTTAATTCAATCCAAAATTAAGTTTCTTGATGTTATACAAAAGAAGATGGAACTAGAAAAAAATAAATGAATAGTATAAAAAGTAATTCGGCCCAAATGACCGTTTAAGTGCTTGAGGCTAAAACCAGTCCATAGCAAAGTCCAGAAATTCTGATGTCTACCATTTTTCATTGCATATGTAATAAATTTTCACACTTTGCAAAAGATATATATATATTATATTTTTTTTTTTGGGGTCAACAAAGTTTTATATTGTTATGTTATACCTGTAGCAATAAATAGCCTATAAGTCTTTCAGCCACATAGAAGGCTAAAAGCATGGATACAAAATGGGCCATCGTTCTTTACCATTAAAAAAAAAAAAAAAAAAAAACTTATAGGAAGAGAAAGGGAAAGAGAACTAGCCAAACGCTATCTCTTGAAGCACTTGAAGTGTCTTTCGATGAACCTGAAAGCAAGAGAAGCAACAAGAGAAACAATCATAGATGTGGTTATAAGGCTTACTAATTTAGAAGATAATTTAATCAAAAAAACTAAGCACATATTAGCATCATGCCACCATCATTGCTTCAAGAAACAAAAATTCTCAACAGGGGTGATATTTGAGTATTTAAGCATTCTTTTGGCACAGTAAAACCAGCCTTAGTAAACGGCAAAAGAAATATTATTGTGTAGTGTGTGTATGCTCAAATGTCAAACTTAAGGTCTATTTGATTTGAAAAAATATGTTCGGTTGTCATTTCCAGTTTAGGCACAGTCAAACCAGCTTTAATAAACAGCAAAAAAGAAAAAAACCTATTGTGTAGTGAGTGTACGAGTGTATGCTCAAGCATCAAACTTATGGCCTATTTGATTTGAGAAAATGTTTTCATTTGTCATTTCCACTATAGGATGAAGCAAAATATACAACCATCAGAAACATAAAAGGAAATTAACAAGAAAACTCAAGGAACCATTGTTCCTTGCCCATGCCTAAGGCCGAATTCTCAGTGACTTCTTCCTACATCATCTACTCCTCTCCCTCTCTATAACATATTCGTCTCTCTCCGAACCATCATGGGCCCCCACACCTTGCCCACTTAGCATAAATAACCGTATCCCCTGTATCCTGCACCACTTGTCCCACCTTTTCCCCTCCTAGAATTTTACTCTTAATCCCTTAGTTTCATGGTTCACCTGCTGCACTGGCACTATTTCCTTATCCCTTGAATTATTGGACTAAGTCTTGTCAGATTATTATTATTATTATCATTATCATTATTATTATTATTATTATTATTATGAATTCTGTAATTTAAAAAAAGTCCCACATCTTGATAAATAATATTTTTTGAATATGTTTTCCAAACACTTCAAATGTAATTGCAACCAACAGTTAAATGGAAAACTAGTTGCTTGTGAAATAGTTAACATGTTTTAGAAACAAACAAACAATTGACAATAAACCTAAATGCCCTAAGTAGCTATCTTGATCAGCACCGAATTATCTTCCACAGGTTAAATAAGATTAATCAAAGGCCAGCTAATGAAATTCCAAAAGAAAAATACTGAGCTAAAATTAAAATTCTAAAGAAGCATAAGCATAAAATTAGAAATATATTATTAAAAAAGAGGACGCGGATGACATGTATCTTCCAGCATCCAATTATGAATTTGATAGAGAAAAATATATATATACCCATTCCAGATGTTGTGCAGTGATGCCAGAGTCAGTTCCAGCATATAAACCAGACAAGACCTGATAAGACAAGAAATGAAAATTATTAATTTGAAATGCATACATAAAAAGAGATCATTCAAATCTAATGTAAGAATCAGAGTGTTTAACAAGAACTGAAGGTGGGAGAAAATATCAGAGTATAATAGTTCAGGTTTCTCAACTCCCAAGAAGGTGAAATTTTAAGCTGGACCAAATATTTTATAGCTCAAAAGAATTTGTTAGAGCAAAAGACGAATCCCTGAAAGACTAAAGGTCTTAGTGTGTTTTGGTGATTGAATATCTTTTAAGTCTTAGATGAATTTTATATTGTATTTGATGAGTTATTAAAGTGTTTCAGTGTAAGCAATTGTCTGTCAGACAATTCGCAAGAACAGATGGTTTGAGAGTAAGAAATAAGGAATTGACAGTCAGTAAAAAGAAGACCAAAGCAACCATTGTATTTAAAATTGACAATCTAAATTAGATACAGTACAAAAGCAAGAAGCTAACCAACAAAGCAAACCTATCGTAAAGAAGAGCAAGATCATACGTATTTAGAAAAGACAAAAATAACATTTTGCTCATTTTTCACTTCTTACACCAAAATAACAAAAGAACAAAAGGAAGGAATAAAAAAAACACCTTTAGTGCAACAAAGAACTTATACTCATCAAAAAACTTGTCAGGAAAAAAAAGCTTGTCAAGTCTAACGAATATTTAAATGTGTCTAACATAAGCTTTTCAAATCTGGGCTATTTAACAAGACATACATCCATGTAGAATATAAGAGACCAATCTACGTAAACTTCATATCGTAAAACATCAAGTCTGTATTTTTTTTTTTTAATGTTTAGTAGCTTGAAGACACACAATACTTGAGAGAGTATTTTTGCTTGAAGAGACATTTAATGAGAATATTAGGAGTAAATTGAGCCCAGAGAGGCTTGTTCAATAATACTAGGATGTACTGTATATAATTTGTAAATTCAAAGTTGAATAATGAAAATTTTGAGGTAAAGTTGAATAATGAAAATTAATTGTACTATGTGATCTTCCTTCTTTCAACTCTCAATCATTTTATTAAGTCCATTGTTTTCTTTTAACAAAATATACTGCTTTTTTGTGTTTTGAACATCAACTAAATTTCAGCATACTAAAATTTTTGAGAAAATAGATTCAACTCCCCCCTCCTCTCCTTACCCTTGTTTTCATACTCTAAACTTCAGGATTCTTGGTCCACTTGGCTTCAAACCATTTAACTCGAGACAAAAAAAAATAGCTTTACCTTGGAGACAGTCTCAAGAAACATGCCAGGGCGTACTGGAAGTGACTTCTGTTTTACAATTGGCTGCGCATCATGACAGACAAGTTACATAGGTTTTTACTGTGATTATAATTTGCTTGCATGCATAACACATTCCCTAGTGAAATAATACACATGCATCCAATTCAACCCACCCTTCCAAGAAATTCAGTTGGTTCCCTATCAGTGGTGTCATCCTGAGCATCATTGCCAGAGCTTTCTTCACCTTCATCTTTTCCTTGCATTACATTTCTTATCATATCAAGCACAATATCCCCAGGTTTTAAAGCCACCAATTTGGCTAAGAAGTTCACCTGCACTGCCAACAGTTTTAAAGATGCCAAGATAATATTTCTGACAATGAATAGCGATGTTTACTTTTAAATCTCTACGAATGTGATGGAGATTTCCATTTTCAACCCCTTTTAGCAACAAAAAATAATATCAGGTGAAATTGAAATACTATTAGGTAACGTTTCACTAGAAGTGAGAGCCATGATAAGATCAAAATATGGAAATTAGAAACTACACATCAACATACCTCAGGCTGAGGAAGAGTATAGAATCCACGGTGGTTTCTTTCATCCAAAATTCCCCCTCCCATCATATCACGAGCTTCTTCTCTAATCAAAACAAGCCTTGCAAGCAATTTTCGATCTGAGACAACAGGACGAGTTTCCATTGACTGCAGACATGTAGCCCAGCACCAAACAATTAACCATACAGTATCAACAAGAATTCAAGAAGCTGCTCTTGAAGGACAAGGAAATAATTTTTTTAAAAATGGATGGAAAATATAACTATATATATCATTTTAGCCCCAAAATTTTAGAATCTTCTAGAATTTGAACCGAATCAACTACTCTATAACTGAAGGAATCTACATACTTTTCCTATAATCAAGTTCTTAGGTACAGGAACACAATGATATAATATCATAAAATAACTATCAAACCTGTAATTTGATACATATAATTTACAGGTGCAAAGTGGAAACCCACAACACGTAGATGATACAGGGCCTTTAGGGAATCATTACAAGTAGCAAAAGAAGAATGTAATATAGGCCAACGGCCAACCTCAAGGGATTTATGAGCACTTTGCTCTCAGTCAATATAAAGCCATAGTCACCAAGTATTAGTACTTGAAGTTTTACAGTTTAAAAGACTTAAAAAGAAACCTGCTAATGTATATAATCTTGAAGTTTTAATAAATACCTCCAATATATCATCTGCTTGGTTAGCTATGTCATTTAGATTTGCCCCTGGGATATGAATCTTCAAGTCATTCTCACCCTTAAATGCACCACCACCAGCTGCAACTCGGCGTAATAATTCATGTCTGCTTTCCTTTTTTGGAGTTCTACATAGAAGACCAATTACTTGAACCTAAAAGATGGAGGCAAAAATTGCACATTGATGTACAACATAAAATTTGGAGCTGTCCTTCAGCTAGAAAAATGCTCAAGAGAAGTAGCTCAAAGAAATTCCTTACATGGGGTGGACATTTTTTTGTTAGATGTGATAATAATGTCTCTTTGATAACTTCCAGCAGTGACTTGCGCTGAATGCAATAAATGGAAAAACAGAAGCAGTTATTTCCCAATCACAACTTCATGACAGCTTCTTTGCTTACTGGCATATGAAACTATGGAAATTGTAAGCATCAATTAAAGGATACCATTTAATAAACAAGCCATCAAAGTAAAAATTCAAGGGCACATGGGGATTGAAGGACAAAGAGTATACTGTTGATATGTTCCAACAGGAAGGACAATAATTGTGAGCTTATATATGAGTTCAAATAAGTAGCTGCAACTGCAGTCTGCATGACTCACATTACAAAAAACAAAACAAGACAAAAAGTAAAAAACATCAAATCACTAATCTGTTTCCTTTAAAAGGATTCAAAAGTAGATTTGTCATGAAATATAACTGGAAACCTTTCTCAATGGAACAGAACAGTTGGTCTCTAAATTCATATAGCTTCTGCTGGAAAATCATACCTTATCATCCTGGTCATTCTCAGCAAGCTGGATCATGTAATCAAGGGCCATCATGAAATCAGATTCCATCTCATCAACTCTCTTTCCAATAACTCCTTGTGCAGCCAACTCCACTGCCACCTTTTCAGATTCTTCGTCCATATTCATGTCATCCAACTGCAGTCAAATTCATACATGTAATAGGGGCTTGTGGCAAGTGAAAACATTACACATTAGGATTCAAAAGTGTCCACGGATGAAAGCAAAAGCACAAAGACAAGACCAAGAATAATGAATATTTTGCAAAAAGAAGAAAAATTGCATATTGTCAATAATGTGCCCAATTGGCTTACCACTGAAAAATCGATTCTTACACTTCTAAAGGGTACATATCCCAGTTACCTTCAATGGTTCAAAATTGATTCTATTAGGGAACATTTGAAAACATAGCTTAATTAAACGTTGTTTCAATAAGATCTTATTACATAAAAGCTTATGTCAGACGCTTTACAACAAATTTCTTAGAATAAGTTGAAAAAAGTTTATTCTAATTACCAAGAAGCTTATTGAAAAAATTAGAGTGTTAATAAAAATTATAAGCTATTTGCGTGAGCTCCCCATAAATTCTTCCAACGTTTCCTAAAATCAATTATACTCAACTTTAAAACTAATGACTTCTATATCTTCAGCAGAAAAATGAGCATGGCTAGCACGCATAGCTTCCATGTTCATCAGGCGGAGTGCCAGGAACACATAGCTTCCATGTTTATTAGGCGGAGTGCTAGGAACACTCTCTAACACGATATTAACACTTCAGTTATTAATTAAAATTTGTTAAAAACTACACAAATATGAGAGAAAATACTCAAATTAGGAGTCAAAACTATTAAATTCAGAGTGAGACCCACATGATTTCTATAATTTTTAAAACTTTAACCAATAATTAAAAATATGTTAGAGAGTATATTAGAAAGTATGTTGTTTGCATTTCTGGTTCATTAATATTAGATGTGCATTAATATCACGTTCCAGTCACTAATTAGCCACTTGAAAACAAACTACACAAAATGAGAAGAAATCTGATCACAATAATTTCAAAATAGTGTATAAACACCGTGTCATTTAGAAACAAACCACAGAAGAGATCCATCACTAGTCTTCACGTACAATATTGCAACATTATAATAGTTAATTAATACTTTAGGAAGTAAACTCTCATTTTAACTCCCTCATATTATACATGCACCATTCATTTTAGTTCCTGATATAATAAACTTTACTATAGTATTTAACTACAAAAAAACATCTTTTAGATTAGTCCTTTGCGGTAACGAAGAAATGTTAAAATCTCTTTTTCCACAGTTGGAGAAAGACATGCATTAAAAGAAGTAAATTTTTAGTAGCCATGCACTAAAAATCTAAAATGATAGAGAAAAACAAAAAGTGAGATTCAAAAGTATATATAGTGTCATAAGGGAAAACAATTACATGTCAACGGAAGAAGTAAAATTCAAATATCATAACTCCTTCTTTAGCAATTTTTCGGGTGAACATTATTTAAAAAACAATCTTTTAAAATAAAAAATTAAAGGTAAATTATGATTATTTTTAAATTTAAAATATTTTATAAGTTTAAAAATTAATATTTTATTATATTAATATAAAAATGAAAAACTTTAATTAAAAATCAATAAAAACTCAATCTAAGATAACAATTATACATGACAGGATAACAGAAAAAAATATTTGTCTGAAAATTGCTATAATTTAATACAATTCTTAAGAATACATTCTTTAAAAATAATGATTCATATTTTACATATTGAGGCATTTAATAATAATAAGTACTTACAAGGAGAATCATTTCTTCGAGAACAGAGATGACTTGGTCCCCTCCTCGGAGGAGCGCTTGACGCTGAGAAGTTGTATCCGAATCGGCGTTTGCTTTTGAGGTCCTTTCACTGGGGTCCAGTTCAGGATATCCACCACCCACTTCGTAGCTGGTGTTGTTGTTGTTGTTGTTGCTCGACGCCAAAACGCGATTCCTTCTGTTGGGGTGCTTCAGCTGAAACGAGCATTGGTGATAGGAAGCTGTTAATGTTGGAAACAAAGAACGGAACAGAGTGGGATAAGTGTGGGTACAAGCGAGTGAGGCGCCAAGCATTTCCACTTTTCTCACTTTTCAATTCATTGTTTTAAGTTATTTCAGTTTGGGGTTTTAGCTCCACACCTAAGACGTTTATTCAGACCCTGGATAAGGGAATAAGGGTTTAATGTTTATTAACAATAAAAAGTTACTAATGATTGTTCCAAGCCGTAGCCGTCTTAGCTCAGCCGGTAGAGCGCATGGCTTTTAACCATGTGGTCGTGGGTTCGATTCCCACAGACGGCGATTTTTTAATTTAGTGATAGAGTTCGTGTTTAATTTTAATTAAAATTGGAGTTTCACCTTACTAATATTTGTTGATTTTTAATGTTGGTATAACTTTTAACAATAACTTATATTATGTAAATTATTAAATTGAAACTCTAATTTTTATTAGGAAGCAGTACCAACAAGACCTATGATATTGGACTAGTTTTGTGAATCATCAAAATCAATAAATAGTAATTATTTCTCATAAATTTATAATATATTTTAAAAATATTTATAATAATAAATGGTTAAATTAATGACTTGTATATTAAATAATGTATATATTCATTTATATAAATAATAAATAAATATTTTGTTAACACAAATATTATAATAAATAAATATATAAAAAATTTAATAATTAACACATCTGAAAATAAGATTTTACTTATTATAATTTAGAGTTTAGAATATTAACAACTACTCAACTATTTCTCAGAGAGATAGAAAGAATTAAATGGATTATATAACATATCTCTTTCTAATTAGATAAATAATAATAAACAACAAAGAAAAACCAAACCTAGAACAATGCTAAAATTAGGTAGCAGTTTAAGATTTAGTAATTATACTGCATATTATAACACGTGTTTTAAATTTGAATTAAAGGTTGATTTAATTTATCTAAGATTACTATAATAATCATTTATAATTTATCAATGCTTAAAATATCTATAAGATTTAATTATATTTTAAATTTTTTATATTTTAACATTGTGTAATTTCAATTTTTATTTTAATTTAGAATGACAAAAATGACGCATACATGTATTAGCGTGGTAATGGATTTAGATTTAGAATAATTAGAATTGTTTTCATGGACTATAATACACAATTCACCTCACATAGTCTACAACGTAATCTCGTTTTTTCAAGTTTTATATGTAGTATTTTATTTTGACTCTCAGTCACATTACCAACAAAAAAAAAAGTTAAAGATTAAGGTTAAAAGTAAATTAATCTATATTTTTTAAGAGAATAATTAATATTTTTTTAATCAAAGACACATGTATTTATTTATTATTTTTATTAAATTATGTTATTTAAAATTAACTAAAATTTATATTTTAATATAAAATATATTTTAAAAAATAAAAAATTCTATTAAATTAAGATAAATTAAAATTAAAATTTATAAATATTTATTAATTTTTTCTAAATTTATAAGTTATCTTTCTACATCCATAAATTTTACAATATTAAGTATCATATATCTACAATTTTTATGATACTAATTGTATTAAAAAAAAATTAACATATTAAATTTCATTTAAAAAAAATATTTCAAGCATTTTAAAAGTAAATAACTTAACATATTTAGTAACACTATTTTTCGTTATTAACTTCGTGTTGTTACTGTGACTTTAAAAATATTTATTGGACATATAATTTTTTTAAAATAAATTTATAAAAATAATATTTTTAAAATACTAAAATATAAAAAGTTTTATGATTAATATTTAAATAATATACTATAAATTTATTTATAAAATTATATAAATATAATTTAATAATTATCAATAATATAGGCAAAAATTAAATAAATATATAACTTAATTTGATAATAAATTATTTTATTTTATTTAATATTATTTAATAACAATAATTTATTTTAAATATTTAATATTATATAAATTTAATTACTTTTCATCTATTTTTAAGAAATTTTATTTTTTTATAAATTTATATTGTGAAAAATATGTTATATAAAATAAATATTTTTAATAAATTATAATTTTTTAAAAGATATTTAGCTTATAAATTAGTTCTAACTTACTTACACCCTTTCACGACTTCCTTTGTTTTCTTGCAGAAAAGCACACTCTATAACCTTAAAATTTTAGACTCTTTAAATTTAAAATTTTCAAAACCTAGACATTTTTCTCTTTTTCTTTTTTGGGTCCAATTTTTTTTATTTTCTTCAATTTTTTTATATTTACCTCTAAATATATTTCCTTATTTTAGTTTTATTTTTATCATTATTTTTTTTTTTTAGTTTACTATTATTAGATTATTATTATTATTATTATTATTATTATTATTATTATTATTATGTCTTAAGATAATATTTTTATTATTTTATTTGTACTTTTATTCACTTTTATTATTTTTTATTTATGTTAGGAGATTTAATAAAAAAAATATTTGATTTTATTTTAGTTCTCTTCATACAATTTATTGATTTTCTTAAGTAATAATAATTAGAATAATTATAATAATTATAATTAGAGGTTATTAAAATTAATTAAACATAATTATTTTTATTTTATTTTATCATATTAGATTTGAGTTGCTTTTTTTATTTTATCTCATTCTAACATTAATAATAAATTCTTTCCATTTTTTTATGATACTCCATTGTTTATATCTTAATTATCATGTTAGTTATATTATCTTTTATTTTATTTATTGTATATTTGTAGAATATTAATTTGTGTAATTTAATTTTATATTTATGATTACTTTCTCTTGTATTATGAATAGTAAATTACTTTCTTTTGATATAATCAATTAACAAATAATAATATAATTACATCAATTGATAATACTAACTTATAAATTATCTATTGTCATGTATATAAATTGATAAAGTATATCTATATCTATGTTATCAAGACTTTATGCAATATTAATCTTTCATATATTATTTTTAATTAATTAGTTAATCATCTTAATAATAAATTAAGACGTATTCCCTTTTAATTACTAAATTTTTAATCAATCAATCTAAATTGAAGTTATTTTATTAATGTAATAATTTATAATGCTAATGAGTAACGACTCTACTATTATGTGTTATAAATTGTTAAAACTCAAGCGTACCAACATTATCTTATACACCATTAATATATTAAAAAAATATTTGATTTCTAAAATTAATCAATTATATTTTTTATTTAATTAAAATCTATTATCTAAAATATTTTCATCATATTAATGCAATAATTTATAGTGTTATTGTGTAGTATCTTTACCTTTATACGTTTTAAATTGTTAAGACTTTTGTATACCAACATTACTTTGGGTCTTATGCAATATAAATTTATCAAATGAAGTTTTGATCTTTTTATTAAATAATTACCTTTTCTCATCAATTTAAATATATTTATTTCTTTCATTAAATAAAATTAATTTTTTCATATTTTAATCTTTCTTAAGCCATATTTTTAATTTTGGTAAATTAAATAACCAAATATTTCTTCATTTTATTATATAAATTTTTGTAATATTAATGTGTAATTCACATTGTTTTCGATTGTCTAATAAATTATAAGAGATTTATGTAAAACTTATGCTATTTTAAATTCTCTTTCAACATCAATCATTATTTAAATATTTTATTTATAAATAAAAATATTTTTTAACGATTTTCAATATAGTTGTGTGATCTCCTTTTAGTTTCTTCATTGTATGATACATGTATAACCATGTTATCTTGTATATTAAAAGTTATAATCTTATGAAAGTAATTTTAATCTCAAATAAATCTTTTTTTACTAAATTTAATTTTAATCAACCAACTTCAATATTTTTATGATATATCTACGTGATTTTGAGTTTTCTATTGGACTTGGAGATAGGTAGGACGAAAGTCAAATCAAAATTATTTTCAAAATAATTTTACTTTTCTAAAGATGTCAATTAATATTTCAATAAATAATTTTTTTTTAAAATAATAACACTTTTATTTAAGAGTTAAATAAATATTTTTTAAAATTAAAATATATTTACGTAATTAATTTAAGGTAACTATTATTTAAATAGATGTTGTACGGTACTAATACTTTCCCTACACAAAAATAACTCTCAAACTCATTTTTTGTTTCAAATATCACTTTTTAAGTTTTTCTAAAATTTTTATTGATAAGCTTTGATGACGATTCTTCTGATTTTTTAGAAAATATTTTTATTCTTAAAAGATATTTTTCTTAATACGTTTCTGATGTATCATTATGACCGTCTGATTACGATAGATGATGACTCTACTAGGGATTGTTTTTAGAGAGTCAAGTATGTGATAATTAATTGTGAAAATTTGTGTAGTTTTCTTTCTATTTGCTTAACCCTTTTCCCTCTTCTTAAGTATTTGAATTAATTATATTATGTTTCTTTTTTATTCGTGTATTTATTATGTGCATGTATTTTGTAACCTTGTTATACATACTTTTTTTTTTATATTGTTCTTAACCCTAAGATAGATGAATATTGATATCATGACCCCTTTTTATAAAGAGTCAATAACATTTCTGCTTATCTTTCTTAATTCATTTATTTAATTTATAAGGCATTATACATATATACATATATATATATATATATATATATATATATATGTATATATTCTATTTGCTTAACCCTTTTTTCCCTCTTCTTAAGTATTTCAATCAATTATATTATGTTTCTTTTTTATTTGTGTATTTATTTTGTGCATGTATTTTGTAACCTTGTTATACATACTTTTTCTTATATTGTTCTTAACCCTAAGAGAGATGAATATTTGTAACATTCTAAATCTTTAAATTTTAAAAGCTGGTAATTTCATTTATACAACTCAATATACTGTATAAATATTTCATATAATAATTTACAAACTGTTTGGTAAAACAATTAGGACTCAAAATAATATGTACATAACCAAAATAATTACACCTCAAAGGCAATTTAAGTCCTAGAGCAGCTCCAAAATATATTCCAACACTGAGAACCCAGTACTACTCAATTCAATGCCAGCTTTCTATCTCTGTCAAGTCTTCAGAATCGAGATCATCATCTGATTCAAGATAAAAATTCCCTGG